GTTTATTTATTATATAAATTTTACTAAAACACCCTTCATTAATTCTCCTAACACCTAAAATGTCGTAGTTTTAAGATGGCCGTAAATAAGGTTATTTCAAGTGACTTTAAAAAAGATAAGCCATATAACACCCAAAATGTCGTAGTTTTAGGGCGGCCGGAAATAAGGTTATTTCAAGTGACTTTAAAAAGATAAGCCATATATATACATACATATATATATATATATATATATATATATAAAATATTATTTGCCCAAACATTTTCATAACTCATAAGCATGTATTTTTTTTTATCATAGTATTGGACTTTGTAAGGGCTTCCCTCTATCTCATATTGTTTAATGGATTTGTTCCTTAACTCAAAAAACCTAGGTTTTTAACCATGCACATATTTAAATTACCTTATACGAGAAATCTTATAAACTTCTTAGGCACACTATAATGTCCCAAATAATTAAATTACACTAATTAGAAATAAATGTCTAATTAGAAGGTTAATCGAGTGAAAATCCTGAATTTTGGCAACACATAGGAGACTTGAGGTGGGACAGGTTGTTGGTTAAGCGGCATCACCTGGTTGGCATGGTGGGCAACTAGGGGTGAAACTGGGCCGGGTCGGCCTACAGGGGCCTACGGCTCGACCTACATCAGGCCAGATCTGACCTAGTATATTTTGTATAATAGGCCGGACTTGGATCTTAAAAAAGCCTATTTAATAAAAAGGTCGTACGCCCACTTTCAAAAGGCCGGGCCTATATTGTACTATTTATTTTAAATAAAATAAAATAGAGTAAGTATGTCTTGAAGAAAAAACAAAAGATATAAATTTAATCAATTGCAATTATTTATAACTTAATTATATTCGATTATATTTTAATAGAAATCTTATTTTATTTCTTATATAGGAGGAACCAACATCTCAACATGTTAGATTGTATATATGAATATATTAAAAGATTTTTAGGAGAGTTATACTTACTACAAGCATCATGATTTGTTTGTTGGATTCATATAGTTATTTTAGTTTACATAGTATGGATTTGTTTATTGGATCTAATGAAATATATGTTATTTAGTTTGAGCATTTTGCTTTCGAAAATGTCTTAAGTGCATATTGTATGAGTTTTGTTATGATTCATGATTCTGTTTGGACGTTGAAATTATGATTTTTGGTGTAGCAACTGAATTTGAGTACTTTGTAAAGTTGATTTATGGTTCTGCTTGGAAGTTAAAAATTAACAGGCTAACGGGCCAAGCCAGGCCATTTGTTTTTGTATAAACGGGTCAAACCAGGCTAACAGTTAGACTCATACTAGGCTTGGGCCAAGCCAAATTGAAATTTTTTGACCTAGGCTTGGGCTTTTCGGGGCAAAACTTGGCCTAGCCCAGCCACTTTCACCCCTATGGGCAACGATAGCCAGTGGGGCCATTTAGAGCGAAACATGGAGTTATTGTAAATGGGCTATGATTTGAGGTACTAGAGGAGGAAGAGGAAATGCCTGAACAAAATTCAAGTGAGGTGCAGTAGTCATAGGTATGGTTTGAAGTCTTGGGATGATGATAAGGTGGCTATGTTGCATGATGGCTTGGTTGGGATTGACTGGTTGGGTTGTTTGGGCAACAGGTATTTGTTGAGGCATCCCAAGATGAACCTGGGATAGGGTTGGTTAGACTGGTCCCACACTTTTAGCTTGTACTTCTTGGAGGACTGGCTGGGGGTTCTATCGGACTTGTTAAGGAGAAGGAGTATCTCCCTACTCATCTCTTCAATTATAAGCTGGGTAGCTAGGTCTGCAACAACATGAGTGGTCGTGGTTGGTCTATCTGGAAGTGGTGCAACTAAGGGAGCTGGTACTTAGGGGACAGAAGGCACTAAATATTTGTGTAAGGTTTGACGTGGCCTTCTAGGGTGGTTCCCCTCTGTTGGTTTGTTCTTCTGGTTTGGACCATTTTGCAAGTTGTTGTATAGGGAAATCAGATTTTCTAACTTTCTTAGAATATTTGGTAAGAGAATGGGAATCAAAATTTACAGGTTCCCACAGACGGCAAATGAACCGTTAGTGAGAGAAAAGAGCCACGTATGTAACCCCTAAGGGGTGTGATGATCACCATAGGGGGTCCTTGACAACAATGGTAAATACCAAGGCTATGAAAGAGGTCCCAAGTATAGTGTATATCAATGGAGGTGATGTATGAATGGCTACAAGTGCTCTCCAAGTTAACAGAGTAACGACTCATGAAATAGTGTTATTGCTTGTGTTCATGATGAAGAATGAGGGGATATTTATAGGTTCCAATCCGATGGGAGGATGAGCCAAATCAACTATTATGGGGAAGAACCTAGGTAGCCTGTGTCTTGCTGGGGCAAGGTGCATGGCAACTATTATTAGCACTGCAGCAGCTGCTGTGCAAGGAAATGAATAAAAGGATAGGTATTTTAATGCCTGTGCAGAAAAAAGGGAAGGGTATGTATCCCAAATAAGATATTCTGATGTCTTACGTTGGGGAACCTAGTGCATAGGTGCTGACATAGCAGCACTACCAAGGCTGCTCTAACATTAGAGGGCTGATGCACAAGGGTAATATGGGCTCTTTGACACTGGGCCGGCCATATTGGGCCAGTTGATTGGGTTGGTCATAACATATTACATAGGGAATATGAACTTCAAAATCAATTTGATATTAGTTAAAAGAGGTGGCTTAGTCGTGACGGCTTGTTAACCCCAATTGTTTTATTTGGGATTATTTTAGTTGTGCCAGCTTGACGATCCAAAGCTTATTTGAATTTATTCTAAATTTTGTGATACCCAAAAACGATAACATTAAAATTATTACATAGGGGTGACTTAGCCATGATGGCTTGTTGACCACACATGTTTTTATTCAGAATCATTTTAGTTGTGATAACTTGATGGTCCGAAACTTATTTTAATTTATCATAAACTCTGAAATAATAAAACACTTAACATTAAAATTATCCTATTATATAAATATTATTTGACTGTGATTGCTTGTTGATCTTGCGTATTTTATTTTAGGTCATTTTTGATGTGATAGCTTGATGATTTAAAATTCTCAAACTTAAAGAATTTCCAAAAAAAAAATTCTTTCAAATTGTTTTTTTAAAAAAAATCAACCAACACACACATGTTTTCTTAAGAACTATGTAGCTTTTAGTTCCTCATTGCACCAGAGGATACGTCGGAGCAGAGTTTTTCTGTCAAGCTCAAAATAAAATTTTTATATTTTGTGTTCTTTTCTTGTAAATAATTTTATTATTCATCTTGTTTCATTTGGACCAGACAAACACTCAAATTATTAAAAATTTGCTTAATTAATTTAAAGTAATCATTTTTCCAAAAGGATGTATCAAGAGTACATTGAGATTAAGTTCTCACCATTCTGTGTGCATAAAAGTTTTTTCAATTAAATAAAATTGGCAATGACTCCAGATTTTTTTCATCTAAATTCAATTTTGGGTTGTTATAGTGACTCAAGTAAATTTTAATCAAGTGTCCATATTTTTTTTTTCGTTTTTTTATTTCCACCAAATGTCAAAAATCTTACTAATTTGATTTATTAAAGATTCACTCAATATTAATTTGGCTCTCTAAAGACTTGTGAAAATGTTCTTCTTTTTTTGGTTTTTTATATCACTTTTAATCTTTTTGATAGTAAACTAATATTGTTTTAATATTTTTTTTCTAATGGTTTATAGGTCTCAGAGCCTCAAATAACTAAAGTTATATGTAGTTTACTAGTGTATATAATCGTGAGATGCATGCGAAAAAAATTGAAATTTTTGTCGGTCGTGATTGGTTAATCTCTAAAAGAAATCAAGAACTACATCTTTCTATGAAGTCCTGAATGATTCAATGGTGGAGATATAAACATGAAGTAGCAAAAATGAAAATGCAAACCTTGTACTTCAAATATATATGAAATAAAAAACAACTGTCTTGCTATTTTGTGTTATTTTTAATTGAAAAAGCTACAATATTCACACAGAACTTTGTAAGTATCAACCATAAATAAAACTCTGCAATTTAGAGACGGGCAAAAAAATTAATTTATTGCTTTTTTAATAAAAATTATGAATATGTAGTCGTTTTCAAATTAATTACGAAACTATAGCAGTCAAACACGTCCACATGGGGCATGTCTTAATGGAGAGAGACACGCCCATGTGGGGCGTGACCTCCTAAAACAAACACGCCCAAGATGGGCGTGATCAGAAGAGAGACACGCCCAACAAGGACGTGACCTCCCTGGTCTATATATACCTCATTTTTCACATTTTTCTCATTTCATCCCTTACTTCCTCTCTCTAAACCACTCCTCCAACTTCTCTCTACATTTCTTTTGGAGGGTTTTGTATAGCGAAGCTCTGTCTCTCTCTCATGTAAGTTCATTTTTATTGTTTATATTTTTTATTAACAGCAATAAATATATGATAGTTATTATTAGTGACTTAAATTAATTGTCAGTAGGTTAGAAAAATATTTGTGACCTATATAAGAGAATGATTAGTGACTTAGAAATTACACAGGGACTTAGAAATTAGTTAGTTACTTATAAATTTGTATATGCTGGTGATAGGAATTAATTTGTTGACTTAGAAATTAGTTAGAGAACTCAGAAATTAGTTAGAGACAATTAATAATTTTATATGAATGACACATATGAACATATTGTTGACCTTTCAATAAACTACATTGTAATTAAAGTTTGTTAAAAAATAATAGAGTAGGCAATATTAATTTAAATTGATATTAAATTATTTAAATTATTTAATCTATTTAAATATAAATTAGAAAAATGTAATGTTCTTTAATTTAGTTTTATTGACGTTAATTTAATTGAATTTAATATAACTTAATTCAATTCAATTCAATTAAATGCTTTTTAATAAAGTGCAATTAAATTTTATTTAGTGTAATTTAATATAATATCAATAATAATTTGTGTATAATTTTTTCATATATACTAGTACTCTATTATGGCCCATTCGTCTTTGTCGGAGTCCCCGCGATCTGGATCCGATGGTGATGCTGAGCCATCCGATACTTGTACGCATGTACTTCCTGGACCATATAGGTGGGAGGTACTGCGTAAGAGGACACAGCGCACTCACATTTCACAGCTTGTGTGGAACGAGGATAAGGTAATGGGGTTAAAGACAAGGCGCGAGAAACTACAGGGTGGACCTCGTGCTGACGATATACCAGACATCGTCGCTGACTATCTGACACAGGGTGGTTTCATACACGTGGCATGTATGAGTTATATTCAGGTATGTAAATTTTAAATTACTTAATGAAATTACCTATACTGGACGTTCTATTATTTTTGTTTTTCTTTCAGATCGATACCACTCTGATCAGTGCTTTGGTTGAGCGGTGGAGATCAGAGACACACACGTTTCGTATGACACAGGGAGAGATGACAATCATATTACAGGACGTGGCTGGTATACTTGGTTTGCCTACTGACGGGCAGGCAGTTACTGGACCTACAACGTTGGATTAGAGGGTAGTGTGTCAGCATGTTTTTGGGACTGCCCTAATTGCGGGTACAGACATTCACGATGGAGATCTACGTATTTCATACATACATAGGATATATCCTGATTGGGGCCCAGTTGCAGAAGATCCTGATGAGGTGAGGCGTTACACCTGGGCACACATTTTGCGACTATTAGGCTCATGGCTACTGTCTGACAGATTGGGTGGAAGAAAAATTGCATGTCGTTACATTCCACTTCTGGGAGGGGACTTTCAGGACATTGGCAGATACAGTTGAGGGTCTGCGGTTCTCGCCCATCTTTTTAGACAGTTATGCGTGTGCACCAACCCGCGGATTAGTACTATGGGTGGTTGCCACGTATTGCTCCAGATATGCGCTTGGATTAGATTCCCCCCATTGCACCACCTCTTCCGCAGCCTACCCACCCCGACTGGCATTTCGGACACAGGTATATGTTCTTTGTAATTATCTAATTCATTACATCTTAATGATTCAGTATTTAGTAATGAAATTTGTTACATTTTTCTTACAGGTTTAATTCTCTAGAACCCTTCAAGCCACATAACCTGCGTGACGGAATCGTTTCAACCTCATCCATCTCGTTCCGTATTCTTGTATCCTTTGGACGGCCTTTTGCACGCAACATATTTTTATCTGGTATGACCACGAGACTTGCAGTGGGTGGAATTGCTTGCTCATTGCCGATTGGCTCCCATGGAAATGAGTATGCGCTGACCAATTGTGAAGTCTTGAAAACATCATCTATATATTTCTGGGGATTTCGTCGAATGGATAAAGCTGCAGCAACAACGTGACTACAGGGATATTTAAATGCTTTAAATTGTCCACATTGGCATGTCCGACCAGTAAGGTTGACAGTATACGTCTTTTCAAACCCTGCATCAACCTCAAATACAGTTTCATCAACATTATATGTACGCACAGTATGCATTGTTGCCACGGATTCATTATGTGCCAATGATTCAATCACATTTTTGTAATATGTATGACCAGATAAAACTTGTCTAGAAGCCGATTGACCTCTCTCCACGCAATATTGAACCAGTCTACTATATGTAAATTTTACCAGTCCAGTAATGGGCATGTTTCTTGCCCCCTTTAACACCCTGTTTATGGACTCTAACAAGTTTGTTTTCATATGTCCATATCTTCGTCCCTCAATGTCATGTGTGCGCGACCACTTTTCTTTTGGGATGGCATCAATCCAATCCGCAACCTGAGTGCTTGTGTCGCGAAATCGTGCAAGCGATCTCTCAAAATCCACCATGCAAGGAGTATATCCTGCCACCAATAACACAATTGACGATTAACGGAAAAATACAGGTAAAAAATTATGAATGTGGTTGTTGCACATACCTATATTCATCAGGGCCGCCTTCAATTTGTCATTTCTAAACCGTTGATTAAAATTGCTAGCAATATGTCAAATGAAATACACATGAAATGCATGGGGTGGCAGCCAAGCAGGATTATTCTCTACATCCGATAATATGCTAGCATGCCGATATGAAATTAGACATATATTTTGCGCTTGTGTAACGTGAAGACGAAGATTGGCAAGGAAGTATGACCAAGCTTCCAATGTCTCACCCTCAACTATGGCAAATGCAAGTGGCAGACATTCATTATTACCATCCTGGGTCGTGGCAATCAACAATTTTCACTTATATTTTTCGTATAGATGAGTGCCACCAATTTGTATCATTGGTTTGCAAAAATTAAATGCCTCACAACATTGTCTGAAAGTCCAGAAACATTGAAGAAATACGCGTTTTCCCTGGACCAATTGCCCCCCAACAAAACAATCTTTTGTTTGAATATTATAAAAGGAACCAGGTGAAAAACGAAGCATATATTCATACCACCTGGGTAGATATGCATACGATTCCTCCCAATTACCATACAACATTGCCATCGCTTTCTGCTTCGCATACCATGCTTTTCTATATGAAACTTTGAAATCGTAAGAATGTGTTATCCTCTCCTGGACGAGCGCAATTGTCACTGATGGTTCCTTTTTTTATCATCTCTGAGAAAAAAAAAGCCAGATATATACATTAACAGAACTGCAGGTATATCAATCAACATTTTTATTAACCAAAATAATTTGAAATAACGTACCTACTACAAGTGATGCAATTACGTCAGAATCAAGTTATCTATGATCTTGAGAAATATGGTCATTCAAGCAATTATGATCCCCACCCCATCTTGTTACCTTCCAATTTTTACCATACGTTGGTTTAATTACCTGGATCCTCCATGGGCAACCTTGGACATGCGCACAACATTTCATGCTTAACTTTGTGGGCGTGCTCTCAACTACAATTGTTTCTAGATGCTCCTTGATGAGGTTGCGCTTGATTGCCATCTGAGCCTCTTTTTCGGATGTAAATTGCTGGTTAACAAACAACTTTTCCCCCAATTGCCATGGACCTTGGATTGAACTCGAACTCTGACTACATGATTGTGTCTCACTCGGATGATCCCATTCAATATATCTGTAATTTGGAATTTCAGACCAAAAAGGAGTTACACGTACATCGCCTGCATGTTCTACTTAAATACACTATTATTATTTTCTTAACTAAAAATCGCTGTAAGCAAACATGAATAGTTGTTACATAGCATACTTTCAGGATGTTATGGTAGTTGACTCGATATTGTGTCATGATGTACTACGATACGAGACTCCCCCAAATCATGCCATTGTTGAAGTTGAGTACTCGACCTGCCACATTCTTCGTCATTGTTCGATGCACTCGCATCCTCTGCAAGAAGACGATCCTCCATTACAATATTTTTCTCATCATCTTCCTCATAGTCCTCATCCATAACCCAGGTAGGGTCATGTTCATCTTCCTTAGACATGTTAACAGCTGGAGCAGCAGATGAGGATGCATTAAGAGGAAAATTAAAAGTAACTGACCTCATTGGTTGCACAACATCCTCCGCGGTGGCAGTATCCACATACAACTCTAAGAAATCCTTTCTAGACTGGTTCAAGAATCTTCCATTACCATATCGACATCTTCGTCATCGACCACTTGCAAACTAATGTATTGTTCACATTGACATAATCTTGCCGTGACTAGAGTGATCGATTGGTTGTCTTCAAGACATAATTTTTGGCGTATTTTCTAATGCAGCTCTGCAACCGTTGAGTTCCGTTTAATACGTGGTGGCCTTTTCTCCCCTACAAAAACAACGCCACGTCGACCTTCCTCTTTTCTACCGTTAAAATATAGAACAACACGAACAAATTCAGAATTCGAACTCATACTTAAAATTTAAAAAGAATAAGATAATAAGAGTAAACAAGTGCAAAATATCAATAAACACTACAAACACTATAAATAACCAAGTAAGAAAGAATGTGGGAGTTTAAGAATAATGAAGGAGAAGAGTTGTGAAGAGTATATAGAGGGTGCGTGTTTAAATAGGCTGTAATTCGATCACTCATGCCCAAAATGGACTTGACCTTCAGCTGGAACACACCCAATGTGGGCGTGTCTTTCATAGGTCACGCCCCACATGGGCGTGTCTCTCTCCTCTTGAACACGCCCCATGTGGGCATGTTTAACCAGTAGTTCACACCCAACATGGGCGTGTCTTCCTCGATTGGAACACGCCCCATGTGGGCGTATTTGACTGCTATAGTTTTGTAATTAATTTAAAAACGACTACATATTCTTAATTATTTATTAAAAAAGCAATAAATTAATTTTTTTTCCTTTAGAGACGTCGATTATTATATAAAACAAATATAGTTTTGTCCTTAATAATTCAATCTTCAAATATAGCCACCAATGAACCTTCTTCTCTGATTATTATTCAGTATGATCCTATTTCATTGATTGAACTATACATAAAATTTGCTACAAAATAAAATCAATTAATATACATGAAAAGAAATTAAATGTTGCGTTGATTGTTCAATTTGTTTAGATGGACTTTCGTTTATCACAATATGATTGTTCATTTTATTTAAATTCTTGTTTCTGAAATATTTACAACACTAAATCCAATTATCTTAGCCATACAAAGATGGGTTTGTTAGACAATCGATACAGGGGAAACGTGTTTGCAGGAGGGGGGTCGGCCTTCTGGGCCAAGCCCATTTGGCCACCTCTAACTATCAGCATTTTATATTAACATATAATAGGTTTTTATATTTATCCACACACAAGAAAAGTTCTTATACTTGCATCTAGATTACTATGTATCTATGTTTTCTGTAGTTGTGACATATATATTAGATGAAGAGTTGAAAAATATTTGAGTAAGTACATTGGTATTCTAACAAATATTTCATAGTTGAAGTTGAATGTGGTAATATCAAAAGACCATTCATTTGCTTAATTGCATAAGAATAAATAATTATTCACAAAATGAACATATATATTTATATATATATATATATATATATACATATATATATATATATATACATATATATATAAATAGACATATATTTAATTCATAATTTAAAATGTTTGAATTTTAAATATTAAATATTTTTCACCCAATAAATATAATGACAAATATTATTAATAGGCTTAAGCAGAAAGTAGTGGAAAACATTAAAAGAACAGAGATATTCTTACTATAAAAAAAATCTACTACCAACCCATTACCTCCATAATCATTATTGGATTAACATTTGCTCTCTTTTCAAAAACTTTTCAGCATTCTTTCTCTGATCCAATGGAATTATGGAGGTAGTGGGTTGGTAGTAGGTTTTTTTGGTAGTAAGAATATTAGAATATCCTCTCTCACATTAAAATAGTATATAAAATACTTAATGACAAACATCTTTTTATGATGCAAGAGTTGGATGGTCACGGATCATTGGATGATCATTCATTTTAATTGAGTTATTATTAATAGTAAATAATTATTCGTTACAAAGATTTGTTTCTTTTTTCAACAATCTAAATTATGTAAATATAAAGATATTTATGTAAATTGCAATTATAGGATATTTATTATGAAAATATAAAAATATAAGGATATTTATGTAAATTGCAATTATAGGGTTTGCACAAGTAATAATGGACCTGTCCAATTCTCCAATGAATAATAAAAATAACAATAATTAATTGATGCAAAAATGCAATTTGCAATTCCGATTGCCAAGCTATGCTTGGTTGGGAGGGAGTGCAATATGTGTTGTGCTATCAAGTTCAAAATTTAAAGTTTTAAAAGTTTGAATTTTAAATATTAAATATTTATCCACGCAATAGACATAATAA